AGAAACTGCCTTCTCCCCACAGATAATATTTTTTACAAAGAAAAGCGAAGAGAATCTACAAACTGCTAGATATGACAAGAGCTTAGCATAATAATGGCTGGGCAAATGATACACATGCAAAAATGTATGACATTACTGATTGTCTGTAGCTGGAAGAACAGGAAAAGTAATTTACAAATGATGTCTTTTCCCAGCATATTAAAAATTGCAGTAATCTTAATAACAACAAAAAGATGTGTAAAACTTACAGAGAAAAATTCTAAAAACTTCAGAAAGTATGAAAGAAGGTATGTAGTACTATAGCATATGGTGTTCATTGATGGAAGTTCCCATAGTTACAAGATTCAAATAAAAAATGCTGTAGATATCCTGGAGAGGATGCATAGGCTAAAAGCATAGTGTTGATGCAGGGCATAAATAAATGTAACAGTGGAATACAGTATAGAACCCAGAAAAGATCCCACTCTCTACTCAGTGGCACAGAGGAAAGAAGAAAGACACCAGTCAGGGAATAGCGCTGGTAATTAAACTGATGGGGAAAAGTTACACAGCTGATGGGCACCATCTACCAAAGTAAATAGCCAGTGATTGAAAACCTAACTGCAAAAAGCTTTATGAAACTTTTAGCAGAAAGTAACTTACAAACAGTAGAATGACTTCTGTCACAATGGTTGCCTTCAGGAATGGACACTGGGTGGCAGGGTTCAGGAGTATGATTAAGGAATGAGATTTTTTATTCTTTGATAAACAGGACACACTACTAGTAATTCCATGTGAATAGTATGAGTAAATCTCAAAGATGGTGTTTAGTCAAAAATTGATGCCAGATAACAGGAAGTAATGTCCCTCATATAGTAGTTGCCAGCATGGAAAATGATGTTATATTTGTTTGTGGAGATACATGTTTGTAAGTATAAATGTATGGAAGTGACAGGTGGCCCTTCAGAATGTTGGCTGTCTCTGAAAGGGGGATGATACATATTCCTTAATATCCATACATTTAACCTATCTGAAGACAATATAGTGAAACGTTAGGATTTGATAAACCTTAGTCATAGATAATAGGGTTATTTATACTTTTCTTCTCATTCTTCTTTATGTTTGAACTGTTTTATACCCCTTTATGAAATCTTTGGACCAGAACTATTTCAAGGTTTTTTTTGAATATTTGCATATGCATAATGAGATATTTTGGGGGGACTCAAGTCTAAATACTAACTTCACTGATATTTCCTATACATCTTATACACATAGCCTGAAAGTCATTTTATACGATAATTTTAGTGTGCCTATTATTGTTGTTTGTTTGTGATATAATCTTGCTGTATAGCCCAGGTTGGCCTCAAACTGTCAATCCTCCTTCCTCAGTTTCCGAAGCTCTGGGATTGCAGATGTATACTACTACACCTGGCCTGTTTTGACTGAGACCATCACATGAAATCAAGCATGGAATTTTCCCCGTGGGGTACTACGTCACACACAAAAAATTTTAGAATTAGGGGCATTTCAGATTCTGGGGTTAAGAATGCTTAAACTTTAATTAAAAATATAAAGAGAGACTGATTTTGATGCAGTCATACCTATTACAGCCTTTGTTTTCTTGTCATTTTGTTTTAGTACCTTCCTGGCATGTCACCTTGTGCCTAGGAAATGGATCTGGAGGCCTGTCCTCTTTGATGATCCCCTACCCCATGGCTTCTCCAAATATCCAATGTGGTCCACTGTGGAGCAACTGGGTAGTGATAAGACAAGCTCCAGGACTGCTGTCAAGGGTCCTTGCATGAAACCATCCAAATCACAACTGCCAAGTTGGAGTGAACTGGCTTCATCAGGCCACATGAGTGGCCTGATATATATATATCAGATATATTTCATGTCTGAAGTGTTTGATGCCTCCACTTCCTTTTGTTTCCCAAACCAAGAAGAGGAGTCATTCTCTCGGCATCCTCAGAAGTGGTCAGTGAGTTTATTTCAGCCCTTAGCTGGCCTCCTGCCTCCTTCCCTGTTTGGGCCTCCATCTTTTTGCTTTTCATGCTGAGTGTACTAGCACTAGTGGTCAAGTGAAAGTGCCTGTTTTGCAGAAGTTCCTGGAATTGACAGAATAAGATTCCTTGTGGTCAGACCATACAGGATATGGGTGGGCACCCATCTGGCTTGATTCATTGCCCACCTAGGTCTGGCTCTGAGGGAAGCCTTGGAAGAGGTTCCTGCTGGGGGCTCATAGCACAGTGCAAATATCAGAGTGAAGCCTCTGGGATGCTGGTCTCAAGAGCATATTTGAGAGGGCTCTCTGGGTTTATCACTTCTCTGGGTCAGGGATCTCCCAGGATGTGTTCATGGTTCACCCAGGCTGACTGTACAGAGCAACAGAGGTGATTTTTCATTTTTATTTCTTTGCTGTCCATGGTGGTATTGCCTTAACTTTAAATGTTTTGGTGTATTACTAAAGACTGGGGCTTTTCATTTTCCTGTGAAAGCTTTCTTTCAAAAAATTCTAACTCAGGAATTAGTAGTGGCAGTGTAATTTCTTTTTAAAGCAACTTGTTCTGCAAAAGTTAGGAAGAAACATTTATGCTGTGATAAAACATGCATTTGTGTGTGCTGTAGAGGAGAAATACTCTCTCAAGTTTGCTTTTCTCTGAGCTCCCCACAGAGAGTATATTTTTGTATCTCATATTTGCCCTATGTAGAGTCAGATTAAAGGCTAATTTTCCAACCTTGATTTTTCTGCCAGAGTTGAGAAGTTGGAAAGCACGAGGCTGCACAGAGCTCCACAGTCCTCAGCTGTGAACTGGCGTTGTTTTGTGGTTGGCCGTTCACTGCATCAGGGTCTGCTGACTGCTGCCAACTGCAAGCTCCATGAGAGACCATCCCTGGAGTGCAGAGTTGTTGGGAGGCCACTTGGGGTTTAGTGAGCCACATCTGGGGTGAGCCAGTCCTAAAGTTGGGCTGTCTTTGGAGAATAGGGGTTCTAGAGGACTTCTTTCATCTGAATAGACTTAATACACTGATTATAATGCAGTTTTCTACCTCAGTGTGGTCATGTTGGCAGAGCTCTGAGAGGTCCTTGTGAGGACCCAGAAGAGTGAGTGTGAGTTGGTGGACGCCTACCACTGAAAGGGGGCTGACTGACAGCATTGAAGACCTCTTCCCTGCCCTCCCACCCATGGAACCCATCCAAGTCCTAGCAGATTGCAAGTTCCTGACACCTAGCCTGGGCATGTGTCCTGGAAAAGCTCATTCATGAGGGTTCTCTTGACTGTCACATGTGAGAGCACCCTGGCTGTGAATCGAGTGTCACTGCCCTTGGTCAGAGGTCAGAATCTACTTATAACATAAATGCCACCTTGTCCAGGGTTTGAAGGCCTCTGTGAATTTGCTTCAGACCTCATTTGCATAGGTGACTACCAGATGGAGAGTTGTGCCTTGATCCTGCACAGTCCAGGGTGCTATTCTGTCAAAGAAGTGAGTGTCATAGCAGCCACTGATGGAGTGAGCACCATGAAGGGTGTGTGCTGGAAGGAAGCTTTTGTCATGAGCTAATCAAACCTTTCTCCAGTGTCATATCAGAAAGACACAGTGAAACCTTGTATTTGAACTGCAGTAAGAGTGATTTGTCTTAGAATATGATGTTGAGACATTTGAAAAATCTCCCTTCTCTCCTTTTAAAATGCCCTAATGTCACACTTTGAATTTCACAATTGCTGCTTAGAAATTCCCACTTGGTTTTTCTGCACCATCCCCACTGAAGAAGAGTGATAACCTCAACATCTGAGCCACTAACCAGCCTGGCCTTGGTTCCCATAGTTGCTAGAGATTCTAGAGATCCTGGAGGGCAACACATCTTACTCCTCTCCATCTCTTTCTGCCCTGCCCAACCCCTTGCCCACCCCTTCACACTCAAGTTCTGTTTACTGAGTTTCACTGCTGATCTTTGTTGGAGAGAGTAGACTATTTCCCTCCAGTTCATGGGACTGGGAACTGGTGATGGGATTAACATGAGTTAAAAGTTGATTGTATCCAAATAAACTTGAGTTCCTTGGTGAAGTGAAGCTAGGCCTGGGCCTTCACCCAGGAGGGTGTGGACCAATTGCTTCTGACACTTTGGATGTTGGTCCAAAGACAGAATGGTATGGTTCTTTGTCTTGGTTTAGGGTGTATTATACAACAAAGGGCCTGGTTACACTGTCCCCTCTTCTGTGCAGCCTGCAGATGTGAAATTCCAAACCTGGAGTCTGGTGGACTTCCCAAAACTTACCTTCATGTTTCTCAATATGGAGACTACCTGATTGCAGGAGGCATTGCTGGCAAAGGGCTGTTTTCCCTCACAAAGCGTGTAGGTTGTTGTGTTTATTGGCACTGTGAGAAAAGAGAAGCAACAAAGTAGATGGCTGGCCGGGGGTCTGCTGGCTTAAGTGCATATGGCTGAGAGCCTGCAGATGTGTTTGACTTCGCTATCATTTTTTTTAATCAGTTAATTTGAGTTGATTCATTGGGAAAAGGAAGATTTTGGCTCAGTGGGAAAAATCAAAAGATCTCTCAGCTCAGTGCTCACATTTCTGTGGTAATCAGCAATAGTTGAGTGGCATCTACTACCTAGTTTAGATGGAGCATTTTTGCCACAGTTTGCCACCACTTCCCATTTTCTCACACCTGGTTTGCACTTGTGTTCATGTGTGTTTTGACCCCTGCAGTGGGGAGCACATGATCCTTTGAATTAGAATAATGGCTACAGCTTTTGAGTCTTTGGGCATTACATTCTACCATCTATCTGTTTATATCCCTAAAAGGGGCTGCTCAGATCTTGGGTAAAAATTGCTCACTTTTCAAGAGTGGGAAGTTAAAATGTGTGATGCCAAAGATTGCCTGGTTTGTCTCTATTTTGAATTTAGTCTGAAGAAACAATTGGTGAAATCTTAAGTTAGGTGATAGGGTGGAAATGGAAATTGTCAAATGCCTCAGTGTCTCCAAAAAGTAATCTACATGTATGTGTTTGGCAGGTGGAAAGAAAGCCAACCAGGATGGATATTTACGACACTCAGACCTTGGGGGTTGTGGTCTTTGGCGGGTTCATGGTGGTTTCTGCCATCGGCATCTTCTTGGTGTCAACCTTCTCCATGAAGGAGACGTCATATGAAGAAGCCCTTGCCAACCAGCGGAAGGAGATGGCAAAAACTCACCACCAGAAAGTAGAGAAGAAAAAGAAGGAGAAACCTGTGGAGAAGAAAGGAAAGACCAAGAAAAAGGAAGAGAAACCCAATGGGAAGATACCTGACCATGACCTGACCCCCAATGTGACCATCTTCCTCAAAGAACCAGTGCGCACACCTGCTGTGGCTGTGGCCCCAACCCCAGTCCAGTCTCCAGTGCTCCTTGCCCCTGTGGCTACGGTACCAGCCATGCCTCAAGAGAAGCCAGCCTCCTCACCTAAGGACAAAAAGAAGAAGGAGAAAAAAGTGGCAAAGGTGGAGCCAGCAGTCAGTTCTGTAGTGAATTCCATTCAGGTTCTTGCCTCAAAGTCTGCCATCTTAGAAGCCACTCCCAAGGAGGTGCCTATGGTGGTCGTACCCCCAGTAGGTGCTAAGGCCAGTGCCCCCATCACCAGCATTGCTCAGGGCAAGAAGGCAGAAATGGGGCAGAACCAGGGCAAAAAGGGGGAGGGGGCCCCAAACCAGGGCAAGAAGTCAGAGGGAACCCCAAACCAGAGCAGAAAGGTAGAGGGTGTCCAGAACCAGGGCAAAAAGGGGGAGGGGATCCAGAACCAAGGTAAAAAGGGAGAGAGTACGCAGGGCAAGAAAGGAGAGGGAGCCCAGAACCAAGGCAAGAAGGCAGAGGGAACCTCAAACCAGGGCAAGAAAGGGGAAGGTGTCCAGAACCAGGGCAAGAAAGGGGAGGGTGTCCAAAACCAAGGCAAGAAAGTGGATGGAGCCCAGAATCAAGGCAAGAAGGTGGAGGGAACCTCAAACCAGGGAAAGAAGGGAGATGCAGTCCAGAACCAGGGCAAGAAGGCAGAGGGAACCCCAAACCAGGGTAAGAAGGGAGATGCAGTCCAGAACCAGGGCAAGAAGGGAGAGGCGGACCAGAACCAGGACAAGAAGGTAGAGGGAGCCCAGAACAAGGGCAAGAAGTCAGAGGGGGTCCAGAACCAGGGTAAGAAGGGAGAAGGAGCCCAGAACCAGAGCAAAAAAGTGGAAGGATCTCCCAACCAGGGCAAAAAGGTTGAGGGGGCTCAGAACCAGGGCAAGAAAGGGGAGGGGGCCCAGACTCAGGGCAAGAAAGGGGAGGGGGCCCAGACCCAGGGCAAGAAAGGAGAGGGGGCCCAGAACCAGGACAAGAAAGGGGAGGGGGCCCAGAACCAGGGCAAGAAAGGGGAGGGGGCCCAGAACCAGGGCAAGAAAGGGGAGGGGGCCCAGAACCAGGGCAAGAAAGGGGAGGGGGCCCAGAACCAGGGCAAGAAAGTGGAGGGGGCCCAGAACCAGGGCAAGAAAGGGGAGGGGGCCCAGAACCAGGACAAGAAAGGGGAGGGGGCCAGAACCAGGACAAGAAAGGGGAGGGGGCCCAGAACCAGGGCAAGAAAGGGGAGGGGGGCCAGAACCAGGGCAAGAAAGGGGAGGGGGCCCAGAACCAGGGCAAGAAAGGGGAGGGGGCCCAGAACCAGGGCAAGAAAGGGGAGGGGGCCCAGAACCAGGGCAAGAAAGGGGAAGGGACCCAGAACCAGGGCAAGAAAGTAGAAGGGTCTTCCAACCAGGGCACAAAGGTAGAGGGGGCCCAGAACCAGGCCAAAAAAGTGGAAGGAACCCTAAGCCAGGGCAAGAAGGCAGAGGGGGCCCAGAACCAGGGCAAAAAGGGGGAGGGGACCCAGAACCAGGGCAAAAAAGGGGAGGGGTCCCAGAACCAGGGCAAAAAAGCAGAGGGGGCTCAGAACCAGGGCAAGAAGGCAGAGGGGGCCCAAAACCAGAGCAAAAAGGGGGAAGGAGCTCCTAACCAAGGCAAAAAGGGGGAAGGAGCTACTAACCAAGGCAAGAAGGCAGAAGGGAGCCCCAACCAGGGCAAAAAGACAGATTCAGTTACTAATCAGGGAACAAAAGCAGAGGGTGGTACAAACCAGGGGAAAAAAGCAGATGGGTCCCCCAATCAAGGCAAAAAGGCCGAGGGAACCCCAAACCAAGGCAAAAAGGAAGAAGGGTCCTCCAACCAGGGCAAAAAGGTAGATGCAGCTGCCAATCAGGGTAAAAAGACAGAGTCAGCTCCTGCCCAGGGTAAAAATGCAGATATGGTCCAGAGCCAGGAGGCACCAAAGCAAGAGACTCCTGCAAAGAAGAAGTCTGGTTCAAAGAAAAAAGGCGAGCTTGGTGAGTGACGCTGATTTCTTTGTGACTTGGGGAAAAGCTGTCTCTGTATGGCTTGTGAGTGACCTTTGGGGGTGTTATCTGTGTCAGTCAGCTGTTGCTACAATTGGGCTATATAAGAAGCACTCCAAATTCATTGGTCATTTCTCCTTGCTCCTGCTTCTGTGAGTCGGCTGAAGGTTGGCCGCTGTGTGAGTTGTATCTGCTGGGAGGCTCTGCTTCAAGCTGTGGCTTAAACTGGGTTGGCTCCTTACTGCAGGTTGAGCTCAGCTCTGCTCCACCTGTGTTCATTCTGTAGCTTTATCTTGAGGCTTCGGTGGCTCTCCAGGGTTATAGCAGAGGCACAAAAGGTCATTTCAGGCAGACCCATTTTAACCAGCATCCCATTGGCCAGTACAAGTCATATGACTGGGCCTGAGTCAAGGGGCAGGGTATTCACTCTGTCTCCAGTGAGAGGGACTAGTGACCTTGGAAAGGGGAGGTGAGGCATGAGGGAGGGCTGTGCCTGAGCAAGTTTTTTTTTTTTTTTGCGGTACTTAGTAGTGAACCCAGGGCCTTGCACTCTCCCACTTGAGCCATGACTTTTTTGCTTTTAGAGTTTTGGTTGTAGAACGCTTTTTTCCCAGGGCCAGCCTCAGGTCACTCCTTCCACCTACACCCCCTAGTAACTGGAATTGCAGGTATACACCACCGCTCCTGGCCTCCTTAGCACGTCTTAAATGTCTGGCTGTGTTCTGTCAGTCTGTTCTGTGTTCTTCCCTCACCTGATGCTTTAGTATACCTTCATTTATTTATATGTGCTTGTTGAGTGAATAGCGGTAGGATATTTTCAAGGAGCAATTGGATTCTTCCATATTGCCCCAACCCTTTCTCTGCCCTGTTCCCACTCTACTCATTTAATGAAGTATTATAGAGCAGTAATATACATGTTGTATTTGATAGCTGGATAATAGATTTTTACCTTGTATCTTTTTAGTGGCTGTTACTATAAAAAGTAGACCAAGGAGTTTCTGTTTCTTGTTTATCATTTACTTGATTTCACTTACGTTTTCTTCTTTTCTCCTTTTCTCCTACCTTCCTCTCTTCTCCCTCTCCATCCCCCAATGCAAATTGGCAGATAAGTCTCTGGTTAGTGGCTCTGATGCCCCTCAGACCACCCGGGTTCTTAGTACATTCTGCCCACCCAGGCATGGGTAGCCATCAGTAGTGATGGTTGTGAAGATTCCCTAGTAACATGCAGAGACAACATGTGATTTTTAGTTGAGAAAAGTAGAATATCAAATTATTTAAACAACATTATAACAATGGAAGACAAAGACATTAAGTAAGTGATAATGATATAAAATATAACTTAGGGAAATATACAGTCTTCCCTCTTATCTCAAGGATTGAGTCTAAGACCCTCATGAATTCCAAAATCTGGGAACACTCAAGTACTGTAGAAAATGGCTTAGTATTTGCATGTAACTAATGCAAATACTAAGTGTCCTGTATTTCTTTATGTATTTATTGGTTGATTGGTTGGTTGATTGATTGATTGGTGGTGGGTATCAAACTCTGGACCCTCATGCATATTAGGTGAGTGCTCTACCATGGAGCTACATCCTTAGCCTGTCCTGTGTACTTTAATCTCTAGATTACTTGTAATACTTAATGCAATGTAAGTTCTATGTAAATAGTTGTTTTTCTATATTATTTAGGAAATAATGACATGGAAATATGCACTGTTCAGTAGAGTTGGAATTTAAAAAAAAACGTTGACTGCAGTTGCTTGAATCTGTGGATGTGTGACTAGAGGGGTGACTACTGTTCCACAGTAAGAAGTCCACAATGGGTTTTTTTTGGCAATGTGCTAATATTTATCCTTCAAAAGTTGAAGGCAACCCTCAAAAAAAGCACAGGCTCCCTGGCTGTGAAAGTGCCCCCTGGAGTTGGGAACACCTGTGTGGAGGGCCTTTGATATTATCAGTGCAAGGCCACATGGGACAGGAATCCTAATGAGCTGTTTTAGTAGATAATTTCCTGTTAAAACCCTTTTATTTAATGACCTTATAAAATTATTTTAGGGGCATAAAATTGGGTCTTGATATATTATTTTAATTCTCTATTCCTCATTCCAAAATAATAAAGCAATAAGGACACTTCTCGATGTTAAAACAATCCAGAAAGATACCTGCAGGGCAAGGGATAGGTGGAACTTCTTTTCTTGCATTTGGTAATCTATTTGGATGTAGTTCAGCATGTCAGACCAGTGCTGAAGCTTGATTCATCTTAGAAGTTCTTTGGTGAAATGCAGAGTAGGACCTAAGAGCAGGAGACATGGGACAAACCTAAAAGGCTGAGAGTCATTGCTAGCAGCCAGGGCCAGGCTGGTCACCCAGGATTGTCAGTAAGAGAGTATGACTATGCTGCTTCCTCCCTCTAGCACACAAGGGAGACTCCTAAAAAACCAGCTAGCATTTGTTGCCCTTAACGCAGAGAAACTAAAGCAGATACCTTAAAGCAACTGAGGCCAATAGGAAAAGGGGACCAGGTACTAGAGAAAAGGTTAGATCAAGAAGAATTAACCTAGAAGGTAACACCCACGCACAGGAAATCAATGTGAGTCAATGCCCTGTATAGCTATCCTTATCTCAACCAGCAAAAACCCTTGTTCCTTCCTATTATTGCTTATACTCTCTCTACAACAAAATTAGAAATAAGGGCAAAATAGTTTCTGCTGGGTATTGAGGGGGTGGGGGGAGAGGGAGGGGGCGGAGTGGGTGGTAAGGGAGGGGGTGGGGGCAGGGGGGAGAAATGACCCAAGCCTTGTATGCACATATGAATAATAAAAGAAAAAAAAAGAAGATTAAAAAAAAGTTTTAGGCACTGTATGCCATGGGGATAAGTAAATTGCAAGTAAATTAAAAAATCTATTAAGGGCAAAAAGAACACAACTTTGGGAGTGCCATGAGAGTAAAGAGTTCTAAGTGTGGGGAACATGGTTATCTCCATTGTGAAGGGTTAGGAGCTGGATAATGAAAAACAAGGACTATCAAAAACTTCAAGGAACAAAGCAAAAAACTTGTTTCTACCATTTCTATGCCACAAGACAGTTCACTTACTTAACAAATATTAAAGAAAAGGAAATTCACAATATAAAAAAAAAAAGAGAGAGAGTATGACTTTCCAGCCATGGAGAAGAGACCCTTGTGATTTTCAGGAAGCCTCATCTCAGGACAAATGAAGGGAAGAATTTATGAACACACAAAGGAATACTTAGCACATATGCTAGGATTGGAAATTCCAGGTACTGCCCAGTTGACAAGTGCATATATTCAGCTATCATAGAATCGGATTGTATTGGTTAGTCTCCAAGGTGAACCACAGGAAACCTTTGTGTCCTTAATGTGTCTGAAGTTCTGTGGCCCCAGGTGGAGTTCTTCTCGTCTTTACCAGAAGGAGCATTCAGAATTCTGCTTTTGATGCTCAGAACTCAGCTCTTGCTGCCACTATGGGTGAGGTAGTCCCCCATAACACCTCACTGCAATGGCAAGAATCCTTGCAACTTCCTGCAGGGGGTTACACTTAGGATGTGTGGGGACTTAGGATGTGTGGAATGACAGAGGCTGAGAACCTCCTAGATGGAGGGCAGGTGGAGGGAGGTGCTGACTGCTGGGATGTGAGGAGGTTGGGTTTACTTTATATAGAGGTGTCCATGGCCAGTCTGTGTGGATGACAGTGGAAGTGAAGAATTACATCCTTTCTTTGTATCTTCTAATGTAGCTGTTAGACTTTATGTGGCATTGTCAAACCAAAGCAGGCAAGGATGTGTTAATAAATTACCATTTTTTTAGCCACGTGGTATACTTTTCTCTGGTTTGTGCTAGTGTTATCTTGGCATGTCTCAATCATCCAATGTAGGTTTTTGATAGCTGTGGGTTATAAGGGCTGCATGGCATAGATGTATGATGTATAGTGCTTTGTGTGGTTTCTTGGGACCAGGCTGTCCTTGACCAGTGACCCCTTTGAATTTGCCTCATGGACTTTTCATAATCAGCCTACTCCCCAGCATGAATGTATTTTCTGTTCCTTATAGCTGATGGGCTCTCAGAATGTTTCTTAACTTCCTCATGGCTGCCGTCTTCTTGCTAATAGCCCAGGAGGGGACTCAGTCCCATAGCATTGCAATTCTTTACAGGATGGAGACCCCGAAGGAGGTGCTGTGCCTTTTTCTCATCATCAGTTTGGGTATTCCCACATATAAATATGTGTATGTGGGAAAAACGCCAATGAAACACTGGGCAAGGTAGGAATATCACTGAAAATGACTGAGAATTCCAACTCAGGCCTTGCTCCATGAAGATCCACTCCAAAATCAGGTGTGGGTAATGTACTTTAGGTTATGGGTCATTTTTCATTGTAAGAGCCCTTCTCCAATCTGGAAACTTTTACTCATTTACAGTGATGTTCCCATCTTGCTAGTATTCTCTTAGACATTCTTCTTCATTTTCAGTGGTACTTCATTAGCTATGAATTGTAGTAACTGAGGGTTTGGGGGCAGGTGTCTGTGAACTGGTGGCATGGATATTTATCAGGGGCTTATGGAATTGGTCCCACACTTTCTTGCAATTACTTCTTGTACATGTAGGGTACTGTACCAGAATTAATCTGATTTATATTGGTCATTTATAGCTGTGAGCATGTTGCAGGTAAGCAGGCATGAATGAGAATGTTTTCACAGTTAGATCTCGTTCTCCTCTTATTGTCCAGGCTATGGTAGCTGACCTACCACTGGTCTCCTTGCCCCTCATCTGGGGCTGAGTCTCTGTCCATCCAGAGCCTGCCCTCACCCTGGAGCCACATGTGCTCAACTCAGGGGAACTGAGGCAGAACTCTCTGTGGCAGAGTCAGCAAGACAGGGTAAGGTGGCCTGCTGCAGGGACCCAGGAAATGCTTATATAGTGGTTTCACTTACTGTTGTAGAACTGTTTGGAAAGGAAGCTCCTCTCATGAACTAAGGA